GGTCCCTTTAAGCACAGCCCTCGGCTAGCCTGAGGCAGCAGCTCCACGCTCTAAGTCCTCATCTGATGCCCTGCCGGCACTGCTTCCGGCCATCCTTAACCCCGGTTCAGGGTCCACTTAATGTGGACATGCTAGTTCGAATTAGCAAAACGCTAATTCGAACTAGTTTTTTAGTCTGGATCCGTTAATTCGAACTAATTCGAACTAAGTTAGTTTGAATTAGCGCTGTAGTGTAGACATACCCTTAGTAACTGTCACTGATATAATTTTAATCTGTTATGCAGTTACTGTTTTTACGTTATTTATATCCCCAATACTTAGTGCTGCCAAGAGTGCATAGGATTGGCCTAGATGAACTCTTAAGGTCCCTTCCACTTCTACAATCCTCTAGGAAAGGTACAGTAGCAGTGACTGGGGACTCTTATGAGAAGGATGGAGGCATCCAACTGTTGCCCTGACATGGCATCCAAAGGGGGTATGCTACCTGCCAGAGGCCCGTATTCAAAACATTTTGGAGGGATTGTCAAGGATCATCTGGCCTTCTAACTACTACCCTATGCTACTCATCCATGTGGGCACTAATGAAGAGACTCTGGGAGTATGGGTGAACAAATTAGGGGCACAGATCTCTTTGATCCTTCTAGTCAAGGGTAGGGGCCCAGGCAGACAGATGCCTCTTCAGGAGGGCTTCAGCTTCCTTGACCACAGGATACTGTTCTGGGAAGGACTGCTAAGCAGAGGTGGGATCCACCTATCAAGAAATGGGAAAAGCATATTTGGCTAATCTAGTGAGGAGAGCTTTAAACTATGTTGGATGGGGACAGGTGACAAAAATCCATAGGTCAGTGGTGTTTACATTGTGAAAGGCAGCAGGTAAAATGAAATATTCTTACTTCCCTATTTGATTCAGTAAACAGGAAGGCTACGTCTAGACTGGCATGATTTTCCGGAAATGCTTTTAACGGAAAAGTTTTCCGTTAAAAGCATTTTCGGAAAAGAGCGTCTAGATTGGCACGGACACTTTTCCGCAAAAGCACTTACAGGTTTTGGCCATCTTGACCCAGTGAAGGCAGGTCTTGAACCCGCAACCCTGTCCTCCCCTGTGTGGCAAAGTGCTCAAAACTCAGAGCACCTTAGAGCCCCAGATTGGAGACCTTACAAACAGGTCACAAACCAGTTACACCGACCACTTCAGCTGCCAATCTGGCCAGCCAGAAGCCTCACTAGCAAAACCCCTCTGACACCCCAGCTCTTCCAGTGCCCTAATCAGCCCCGGGCCTAACACACAGGTGAGGGGTTTTAGAACCCAATCTCACCTACCCTGAACAGCTTCTTCTGGTCTGCGGCTCCGCCCCCAGGCGCCCGGGAGCCTCTAAAGTTTGGGGACCACTGCCATAGGTAATTAAAAAACTGGGAGACCTGGTGTGATGGACCAGGCCAGGTTTGGTTACAGCTGAGAGCATCCACTCAGGGTGAATTGCTCAAACTCAGGGCTCTTTATAGCCCCAGACCGGGGACCTTCCCAAATAGGCCACAAACCAGTCACACCGAGCGCTGCCAATCTGACACCAGCCAAAAGCTTCATGAGCAAAACCCCTCTGACATCCCAGCTCTCTCTGTGCCCCAATCAGCCCCGGGCCTAACAAAGGTGAGGGGTTATAGAACCCAATCTCACCTACCCTGAACAGCTTCTTCTGGTCTGAAGAAACCAGCCACAGGTCCCAGTCAATTTACACTCTGGATCTTACCCACAAGATCACGCTGAGTCAATCCTTTAGAATCTAAAATCTAAAGGTTTATTAATAAAAGAAAGAAAAGCATGAGAGTAAGGTTGTTAAGGAGAATACATTACATGCATCGAATCTCCCAGTTCTCGATGCAGGCTCTTAGCAGTTTATAACATTTCTGCTATATGTTCTGTGTCAGGACAGGTCCACGGTTCTTCCCAGCTCGTTGTTC